AAATTGATAATGATATAATCCAGTAAGAATCATTTAAAAAATAAAATTATTTTTTCCTTGGAACTCACCTTAAAAAACAAGTTTACTGACACTAACTATGTTACTTTGCCAATCGAGTTGATTATTTTGTGATAGGATGGGCTTGAAGGAAAATCAAGTTTATGGAAATAAATGGGGTGGTGATAAAGTCAAGGAATACCTGCAAATATATTTTCTTTTTGGTAATATGGATAGAAGTCAACAATTTTCTGCAAAAGATATGTCAGAAGAATTGAAAGAGCGTGTAAAACTTGGTGAACTTACATCCAAAGAGTTGCCAACAATCAAAACAATTGAAGGATGGATAAGTCGTTTTGCTGCTTCTCATAAAAAATCAATGGCACAGAAAATTTTAGAAGAAACCAAAATAAAAATCAATGACATTCTAAAAATTCATTCTTGCTTACTATAATTGCATCCCGAAATTATTTTATGGAGAAATTCAACATTTTGAGTTTTAAAGTTATTTTTTAGTTGATGTTAAAATGTTTTATATTTATTTTTTGACACATTCTTATGTTTTCCAATAATTTATATATGTAAAAAATATGAATTTTATACCCATAATCCAGGACCGCTGGTTAAATAACAGAAAACTGACAAATTTAACAGCTCATATTTTCATAAGTAAATATAATATTTCACATTTGTTTAACATAGTTTGATATAAAAGATAATATATGTAACATAATAAATGTGTGACTTTTTGTGGGGGCAAAAAAATCGACCAAATTAATTTTAATATGAAAATAAAATTTTTTGCCCCGATCAGCACTAATTAAGTTCTTTCCTTTATTCGTGGAACACGAATTAATAGTTTTCCTTTTTGTTATCTGTTCATTCAATTTTGAGATTATCTTGTTTTTCTTATTTTTGTCATTAATTCATACTATCTTAAAAATTCTTCACAATAAAAATAAAAAAACAAAAGTTCTAAATTTAAAGATTATATTAATAATTAATAATTTATTAAGTTGAAATATTAATCAATATATTAAAATATTTTTTCTCTTGTAACCTTTTGAGTAGAAACTCCAATTAAAAGATAGTGTTTTCATATATTATCTAATCATTATTAATATCAATATAATAAAAGTTAGAAAACAGTAATGCAAAAAAAAAAAATTGTTAAAAGCTCTTATATATAATAATAAATAACTTATAAAACAGTTTTTTGCTTTTAATTTCTTCCTTCCCCAAGAAACCCATCCAAATCATATATTTTCTGAAAGTTCTTAATGTACTCTGTCTTATCATGCTAAAACGAACTCAATAGAGCTGATTTCTGAAAAGAATTAATTCATGATCCACCAGTCAAGGAAAGGATTTAATTAATGCCGATCTGGGCAAATTTTTTAAATTTCATAGTAATAATAATAGTAATCGATTTTTTGCCCCCATAGAAAGTCATGCATTTATTATGTTACATAAAAAAAATTTTATATCAACCTATGTAAATCAAAAGTAAAAAACTATGTTTACTTACAAATATATGGGCTATTAAATTT